CGCTCGATCTCTTCCAACCCAAGAGTCACACCCTAAATGCTTTACAAGTTTCTGTACTGCATAAACTTGGAGCAGGAGTCCCAACATCATCACACACTCCACCACTATGCTAAGTGATTGATCGAACTCCAAACCTGGGTCTCTTTCTAGAATAGATGACCCTGGCTTGGAGTTCTCACCTTGGGTACGACTTTTGGAAGTGGTGGTATCCAGAGTCACCTCTTTGAGAAACTTATAGCACTTCTTTGTTTGATTATGGGAGTTTTAGTAGGATTTTTGAAGGCCGCACCTTCTATAGCAAATATTAAAAGGGAAAGGTTTATATAAAATTATAATCTTATATTGTAGAAGTAAGGCGTACCATAAATATCAGTAGAAAAGAGCGTCATTAGGTTGAAAAACCTTTCCAATTGATTATCTCGACCTTGAGATATATAGAGAAAAGCAAAACGAAAAAAAGAATTTCAAATTTATAAAATAATATATTTTGTAATTAGTTATTTGGACCGTCTACTTTCAAAAAATTTCAAGTGATTATAGATTCGCTCCATCTACACCATTATTGAATTTTTGAATTTGACAATTAGAGTTGAACATGGATTTTCAAGCTATCATAAGGTTTCCAACATTCGGTCAATATCTTCCCGTAAAATTTATGGGTGTGCCATTCTTGTATAAGTATACGGTGGGCACCCTATACCCACTTCACTCATATAAAAAATGGGAAATGCTGGGGCATGGAAGCGGCCGCCTCCCTTGTTTAGGAAGCTGTGGCTTCCATGGCCATCCCTTTCCAAAATGAAGTAGGTCCTAAGCATAAAGGTCTGAAACATGAAATAGGTCCCTAAGCATAAGGGTCTAAAACGCTAGTTGTCCCAAAATCAAATACGTCCCAAGCATAGCGGTCTAGAAAAAGCTATCTACTAAGTTTCTATAAGGCTTTAGGTCTTATGAAAGAAATCAGTAAAGTAAAGCCTTGCCTTAAAATCTTGTCCGAAAAGCACTTGAGGCACTAGAAAACCCCAAGATCACTTTAAAATCTATTTCCAATACAAATTATGAAATTGGTGGCTTAAAAAATAATATAGATCTTGTGGATCCATGAACATTTGAAAATGAATGGTCTAGATAATATTTTGTAATATACAATATTTTTAGGGTTAAAATCCTATTTGTTTTCACAACCATAATTATCTAGGTCGAGATGATTAATTTGAAGATTTTATGACACCAAAACTATACTTTTGGCGAGTTTTTAAGTGAAGCTTCATTTTATTTTATTTACAAGCTTTATTTTACATAAAGCCTTAACTATATTTTAACGTTTTAAAAATTAAATTATATTGGAAGGATCTAAACTTGCAAAACTTGTGTGTCTGAATCCAAGTTACCTAAATTACAAATAGAATAGGAGAGAATCCAAGTTACCTAAATTAAAATAGAATAGGAGAGGATGCCAGTGAAAATATAATAGAAATGTGCAGGAGAACTCTGCAATTTAGCACACATTACATACCAACCTCACCATGAAATGTTTTAAGGATTCCAATTCCAATGGCCTTTTATTATGCTGATATTTTATTCAAGGGTGAGGTTTGTATAAGGTGCCCACCTTATACTATAGAAATAAGGCGCACCTCAAACATTTGCCAGAGGTTGTACTTCTAGAGTCGAAAACCTTACGGCTGCTTGAGAATCCATGTCCAACCCTAATAATGAAATTTTAAATTTTAAATATAGTGGAGATCAAGTGGATCTATAAATACTTAGAAATCTTGAAAATAGATGATCTAGATAATTTGTTACCAGGTGCATTATTTTTAGGACTTGAAATTTTTTTTATTTTTTTATATCCATATATCGGGAGGTTGAGATGATCAATTGGAAGACTTTACAAATTCGAAACACTCTTTTCTACTGAATTTTTGCTATGCACATTACTTTTATAGTATAGAATTGCACCCTTATATAAACTTTTCCCTTTATTCTATTATAGAAATGGACAAAAGCAATTCGAATTTGACCACCAAGATGTTTCGTAGAAGGATGTCTCATTGGAAGGAGGCGGCCTTCAGAAAGCGACTTGAGACCTTGTGCCTGTGTCTGATACATGGACATGGTTTTATGAGTCCCCACAGTCATAAGTAGCAATGCGGCCCCCCTTTAAAGATCTAGAAATAAATATTGACCTTTTTTTTTAGGAATATATAATCCCTTATAATATTTTATTGATTTTACCTTTTTCTTGGAGGGAATATTTGCATCCCTCTTTTAATAGATGGTTTATGCCTTGGGGAAGCAAATGTTAAAATGAGTTCCCCGACGTATAAACCACTTTTCCTCATGTATTTATGCATCTTAATATCTGATTCTTTCTTCTTCAGAAAATCAAATAAAATCAAATAGGGAAAATATGCCTAAACAGAAAAAAAAAATTCAATATAAACAAAAAATTTATATAACAAAATTTGCATGGTTTTGGTGCAAGTCCACAAAATTTGCAGTGATAGTAAAGGACAAGCTTTCTATGCTTCCCCTATAGCATAGAAGTTCTATCTTCTCCCTTATGCAACTGTCCATTCTGAATGAAGCGTTAAGATTGTCCCAATCACAATGTCATGTCTTTACACTATTTTATTTTTAATTTTTTTATATAAATTATTTTGACACTAATTTTGGACGTCCATTACTCTATTAAACTCGCACTAGCGAAAAATATAAAAACATATTTTCAATAAATAAAATAACCAAAATATCCTTGAAAGATTTAATAGGTATTTTGGTCATTATATTTTAACAAAAAATTAATTTTCATATTTTTTATAGGTGCGCCCCAATGAGAAGATGACACATACGAAATTTCATATTCATAGAATTTGTATAAAAAAAATAAAAATAAAATACTTTGAGACGTCGGATCTAAGATCAAACAGTCAGTGACTGTCTTGATCAAAATTGGACAACATGATGGTACGGGGAGGATAGAATGTCTATGGTGTAGGGGAAGCATAGAAACCTTTCCCGATAGTAAATAGTGCACATTATGGGAAAGTCTCGAGTTTTAACCTAAGAATTAATCATATAACTATTATTCGAGAAATTTATTGAATTACCCATAGGAGATTGACTATTTAACATTTTACCCATATTTTTTATTTTATTTCAACACATCCATACAAAATGCATGGTTATGACTTAGAATAGTTCTAAGTAGATAAAGTTATTGATAATTCTCATGATAGTTCTCATGGGTATATTGATAATTTTCTCTTATTATTATAATTAAATAACTTATAAATATATAAAGTCCGAGGCTCTAAACAATCAAATTAGCTCCTACCTTCAAATAGTGCCGAGAAATATGGTTTCAGTGCTAAAAATTTTTGTGATAGCCTTAAATTATATTTTCATCTTTAGTTATATAATTTAGAGCTTCAAAAATAGTGCAGATCGAGAAGATCTATGAAAACCTTAAAATCTTGAAAATTGACGGTTCAAAAATGCATTACAAGTTGCACTATTTCCAACACTTGAAATCCATATTTTTCTCTTGTTCATGCATCTAGATGTCGAGATGATCAATTTGATGAAATTTTTACATCAAAACGTCCTCTTCTAATGAAAGTTTTGAGGTAGGCTCTAATTTGATTGTTTAGAGCCTAGGCTCTATATAAACTTTTCCCATATATAAAATACTATAGGCACATGACTCACTCATATAAAATAGCATATGACTTAAACCAAAAATTAATCAACTTTAAAGTCGGTAGTACAAAGCCTTACTAAATTATGCAGAGTATTAAGGATAAAAGATGGAGTACAATGGTTCAAAAATTGGTGAGCTAGCTCAAAATTCCCTCTGCTGGCTTGAAATGAAGTCTCTCTAATTCTGAATGTGCTTTGACTGCATAAGACCATAACTAAATGCTTCACTTTAGGGAGTCAAATTATTCTAGAATTCGAGTGATTTCTTTTCTTTTTTTTTGCCGGCAATATCCTGTACGGAATCTGTGACCCAGACCCACTTAATACTGTCAAAGCCAGGCTTTTTGGTCCAGTCAGAACCTGTCCAACCAAAAAAAATACCAACACAAAAGTTCAAAAAAAAAATACAAAAGTTTAAAAGAAAAAGGATATTCAAATTAAGGTCGATATTAACTAGGTCAAACGTCCTTAACATCTTCACCTCAACCACCGGCTGTTTCCAATTGCTCTATGAAACCTAAAAGAAGAATAAAAACGACTACTACTTTATGAAACTTAAAATAAGAAGACATATACTAGAATGTTAAAATCGTGAATTAGTTATTTAACCAAAAAAAGAAAAACGAAATTAAATTGACTACCAACAATCCCCTAATTTTACATGATTGGCTTCCTATTTAACGACCCAAAAAAGTCGTAGGGAGGACA